AAAGTCTTCGAATGATGGTAATGGAAACAGTTTTGGCAGCTTCTTACAACCTTTCATAAATTCTATAAACAGCCTTGCTCTCAATAATTTGAGAGCTATTAGTGTGTCTGAGAGAAAGATAATCATCTGTCTCTGTCACATTCAACACAATGTTAACAACAAGGCAATCAAACTCTGCAGACTCCTGTCTGCTGTTTAATCATGCCGCCGTGTTCCCGCAGTTACTCACCATGACAATGCTCTGCCTCTTTTGCCATGACATCATCTTGCCACCCGCTGCCGGGGCAGGAATAGCTGCCGTCGCCTGTGGATGCAAAATGCACAGCCATAGTAACCAGTTAATCACTGGCATATAGCCCCGAGTCATGTCACAGAAAGTGATGAGTTAACATTCTCTGTAAGTATTGTTGACCCTGGCAACCAGCCATGGCATAACCCTGGTCATTAGCAAAGCTCCTGTCTATCTCGGCAACACACACGCATGCTGCACGATAGCATCCGCTGTCACCTCTGATATAGATGACCCTTGACAGGAAAGGAGCTCAGTAAGACGGCCTGTCAGCGGCTCTGCAATGTGTCTGGCTCGTCTCCCTTCACTGGATGGCCAGCATGTGCCTCAGGTCTCTCCTGCCCATCCATATCCACACCAATTTACAGCCTGGCTGCCAGCGGAACGATATTCTCATGTGACAGCTTTTTTTCTCCCCTTTTTTATACCATGTTTTATTCCCATGAACTCCCCTGTGGCTATTCTGCAATAATGTAAAGCCACATTGGGACCAACATTCCCATCAAATACAGAATGCTGTGACAATGACTGTATTCTAATAATAATAAAACATCCAATCGTTGTGGATTCTTCTCATACTGGAGGAAGAAGTCTCTTTCCCCCTCCTCTTCTGTGTGTGTGTATCTGATTCTGTTGAGTGTTTCATCCCTGCAGCTTTTAACAACAAAGCAACACTGTTTTCTGATGAATGATCATCCCCGCCAAGTTTTTATTGCTTTTCGTAGATTACATCAGCTCGTAGTAAATCGCTTTCACCAAGGAAATGTGTGATCCTAATAAAAATACTTCAAACCATATTTTAATGCACACAATAGTTGTGAGCTGTTGTCTGCAAAATTTTTCACACAGCTGTCATCAGCATCTTTCATTCCCGAATTATAAACAGAAAGGAACGGATTAAATTGATAGCGATGTAATTATAGCGATAAGATGACAGGATTGGAGAAATCTGAACTTTTAGGAATTCTGATAACAAAGGAGCAAAGGAAACAGGGCACATGAGAGGCCTCGACTGGGATCTGAACTCTGAGTGTGTTCTTGTTATTGGAGAAATTAGCACACGAAATTGAGGCGACGCTTATGAAAGAGTTCAGACTGTAGCTGCCTGTTTGATCACGGGAGAGGTGGGTGTTGTTGGATAACATGCAAAAGGCTGTGAGATCACAGCATCTCATGTATAGCGGCTCCATTTATATTCATTGTTGATCCACAGAAGGTAAATTTAACCTCAGTGGTAACAGCCTCGAAAAAGAGAGCTTCCTATAGACCCTGTGAAGATGTGAGCATGAGCAGTCTCGTGAACACACCCTCGTCTCCTGGCGTTGACAGATGGGAAGTGCTGGCTAAGGTTAGTTTGAGGGCTCCCATTAGGAGGAACGCAGGCACCAAGGCTTGGAAGCTTTGATATCCCACCTGCAGTCTTACGCTGAGGAATAAACAGGGACCTTTCATCCCACACACACACACACACACACACACACACACACACACACACACACACACACACACACACACACAAAGGAATCAGTGCGTACACGTGTGAAGCACCTTGCCTGAGCAGCACATTTCTTCACAACTTGAAAAAATGTTCAAATCTAAACAAAAGTCAACTGGAATTTTTAGCAACAACAATCAGCTTTTTATTGTGTTTTTCTCTAATTAAACAACAACAACGAGCAAAATTAGTTCTACGTTTAAAGGATTTAAGCTTGCTGCATGATAAACAAGGTGTAGTGTGGGGCAAAGGGACACACCATGGCAATAATTTTAGATGAAGTTGATGTGACCTGTGTCCAGAGTGGAGACACAGAACGACAGCTCTATAAACTGCTTTTATTGGTGTAATATTAATATTTAAAGCCCCTAGGTGAGGGTAAGGTCCTGAAATATCTGACATTGATGGCTCCTAGTGGTGGCGACCTACTATAACACATACACTCCACCCACCCAAGACATAGACACCACCAGTTTCACCATGTTTTTGTTTTTTTTTGTTTTTTTTACAAACATGAGCATATGCCCTCAGAATTATTATTATTACGATGGAAGAATCACATAACAACGTGACACTTTCACTCAAGCAGGCAATCAGTTAGAAGCTAGAAGGGCACTCAAAGAGCACAGACCTCCACCAAGCCCAAATGCCCTATCTTGCATTAACGAAAGTGAAAAATAATTTGTGTATCTGCGCCGTGATTCAGATCTGCTCCAAATTTTAATGGGTTCTTCCTCAGCGTATGCTTCATCCCCCCCCCCCCCCCCCCCCCCCCCCCCCCCCCCCCCCCCCCCCCCCCCCCCCCCCCCCCCCCCCTTTCATGAAAATTGAGCCAGGAGTTTTTCTGTAATTCTGCTGACAAACAAACCAACAAACAAACTGAACCGAAAACACAACCTCCTTGGCAGAGGTATTAAACAACACGCAAAGCACGAAACGTGTTCACACAGTCCACTAATTACGTCGGGACTGTTTATCTGGAACACTAAACTATTTGCTCCCTGTACAGTAATGTTGTGAAATCCCGGCCAGACACTTAAACCAGTGAGGGATCTGGAAACCATTTTGTTTTGAGTGGAATCAGGAAGTCATTAACAAAGCGATGCATTACTACCGAGCCATAATGGCAGGCGGGCTGATACAGATACATCAGCCTGCCAGGATGGAGGGCATCGGTCGATAACACCTCCTCAAAGCGTCTTCCTGGCAAGTGCTGTGGCCTATAATGAAGCTTGCGAACAGACGGAGAGAGGCGTACGGCAGGAGGGTCTTACACCAGCCGACCTCACCCCTGTGGTGGAAATCCCATTATCATTAAGAGTCCGAGGAAATGTGAAGGAGGCTTTGAGCTGCTGACCAAGCTGGAATAAGTGTATTAACCGGCAGTTTCTCAGCTGTCAGGGGTCTCGGTTTTGGGCCCCTGCTAATGTAATGTTAATAAAAACAAAATAGTGGGCTGCGGGACCCCTGAGAGCAGCCTTCATGCGTCTCCCGTACTCCTACAAACCGAGGCGGGGCGTTGTAATATGCCGTGCACCTGCCTGCATCAGCAGAAAACACACGTGGTGATATGAACAGTTATGGTTGTGCTGCTGGGGTTATTGCACTTGGTTTATTTAATGATGCTATCAATGGCTGAGTGAACAGAGGTGCATGGTGGGATGAATCACAAAGACTTGGTCCCTGTCCAGACACTACGAGGACTCACTCACACACAGAGTGCACATGTTCGCAGGCGTAATAAACACTGACAGTCTCATCTCTTTCTCTCTCTGTCTCTCATTAACACACAAATACACAGATGTTGGCTGTTTTTCAATAAGCCGCAGTGTGTTGTTGTGCGCCCTTTCTCATGAGGAAAATTATTAGCCAGCTGTTCAATCCCCAGCTGCAGTGACTACTCCATGTGCTGTGGGTGCTTAAACACACACACACAAACACAAACACACTGTAGATACATGGCTGAGAGTGAGTAGGTTTGTGCCCTACAGGTTACAAGCCACAGCGAGAGGCCAGGGGAGGTTTCCGACACTGTTAACAGTCTGATGTTAATCAATTAGCAGACAACTGACAGAGCTGGAGGCCAGCAGTGAACTGCCATTAAACCCAGGGAAGCAGACAGACAGGTACATGGGTAGACGGTTAGAGAGGAAAGTAACTATTGGCAAGCTGGCAGGAACACCACTGAATGTGTGTGTAGGATGAGTTTGCTCTCGTGCATGCCTGTCTTTCTGTTTCATCCTGGTTCAACTCACCCTCCTTACACGGATGTTAGAAGCACATTTGCAAGAGTGTGTGTACGGCACAAGAGGGTGCACGCGCCAGTGCGTTCATGTCCGTGCTTCGCTTGCATTTTAAACAGGCAGGCCAGATGATCCATATTGTCAGGGTCAGGGCTATCTGGGCTCAGCTAACCTCAACCTCTTAACACCTAACATCTGCTGGGGTCAGACAGCCAGCCCAGGGATGGCTCATCATCAGCTGGATGCAAGTGTTCATGGTCCAGCTAACGACTGGCAGGAGACGAGGGTTTGTGTATCCAAGCAAGTCTGGCTCTAGCTCTCTGAAACACTCCGTTTCACTTTGGATGTGGAGTCGCCTTGGGGCAAACATGCTGTGGAGATTTCGGTTACACAACATTACATATTGATCAGTCCATGGCGTAACGGTTTGTTTAATCCATGCTTGGTGTTTCTGTGTTTGATCATAGCACAACAATATGGTTTTTTAAACTTTCTTGGAGCGCTGCATTTTAGATTATCCTGTCCTTGTACTGACTGTGAACATTAATACTCAAGACTAATTACTATTTATACAATTTTTACACTTGTGTAATGAAGTGGATTGAATCCAGGGCTGGGCAATATTCTGATATTGTATCAGTGTTGTGATAAATGTTGTCTTTCACTGGTTTAAAAGGCTGCATTATAGTAAAGATGTCATTTTCTGAGCTTACCAGACTGTCGTAGCTGTTGCCTTTACCCACTAAGTCATTATATCCACATCATTGATAATTATTTATCATACCGTAAAACTTAAATTAGTAGCCCGGCTATTATTTGCTTAAATCACTAAACTCAACAGTCTTATATTTGGGACAGACCCTACCGTAATTCCATCTAACATATAAACTTTTTATCCCTTATGTTTTGTCATATATTCTACAATGCCCTCAATCTTAATGTCTTTTCTCCAATTGTTTTCCTCTCTCTCCAGGAGACTATGTGGTGCTGACCGTCTTCTTTGACCTGAGCAGGAGGATGGGCTACTTCACCATCCAGACCTACATCCCCTGCACACTGATTGTTGTCCTCTCCTGGGTTTCATTCTGGATCAACAAGGATGCAGTACCTGCCAGGACGTCATTAGGTAAGAAGCACAATAAAGCAAGAGGTTCAGCATTTATTGTACGTGCAGAAAGAATGTGATTTTATGTGCTTTTTATTAAGAGATACATTTACTTTGTCTCTTTTAGACCCCGTAGCCTTCTCCTCTGTAACTGCTCATCATCTCTTGACACAGCCTTTGCTCTAGTTCATCTTAATATCAGTCCACCCAGCCCGAATACACATGCTGCAGTTGTACCATTGAGATTCATTAGGCATCCTGGCCTTAATTACTCTCTGCTGTGAAACACATCAAGCACCCTGTGGTAGTCACACGCCACCTGAAACTGAAAAGGAGTCCGCTTAAGCTTCCTTTTTTCCTGCTGTTCTCTCCTTTCCTTCTGTCTTCTCACTCACCATCCTTCCTCCTCCTCCTGTTTCCCTCTGAGACCGGGCAGCTGCTTAGGAATCTAGTCCATCTTGATTAGGAGAGCCTCTCCTGCCACATATGTTTTCATGCATGCCTTAATGAGGCATTAATTATGCAATACAGCAGGGAAGATGCAGAGATGCAGCCTCAGCACAATAATAATGCAGGTGGCCTGCTCGCTGAATGCAATAAGAGGACACGCAATGGAGAAAGAGGGCAAGAGTGAAGATTTCAAGGAAATTTGTCAGCTTTTGAACTTGCCCTTGCCGTCCAGTGGACATCCTCAGAAGTTCACTCGTGATGCAGTTACGTTGCATATTCCTTAGTCAGCTTTCCTTTTAGCCCCTCAAGGCTCCAAAGCCTGACCTCAGGTCCGTGTGATGTGATCATTAGCGAGCATAACTGAATGTAAAGCAATCCCTGCAGGCAGAAACCCTCATTCTACCTCACCGTCATCGTTACTTTGTCCATCATTAATCTCTCTAAAAGTAGGTTGTTGTTTCTTTTCCCCCTGCTTATGCAGCTCCAGACATGATTTGCAGTGGAAATAATAACACTATTAATTCCCTGCTACAAATGTACCAAGAGTCAAATATCTTCATTTCCTTTGAAAGATGATGCGGAAGGTACAGGAAGCCAGGTGGTTAGGAAGCGGATTTATGCAGATGACATAATTCTTAATCCTTCAGTGCCATCCAGAAATATATCAATTCACCCACAGCACTGCGGTGTTAAGCTTGAGGCAGACTGATGTCTTTCAGTCCTTGTTAAATTTAGACATAAATCATCTCCTATATACAAGCAAAGTCCCCTTATAAACATTATCTATTTAAAGGAAGGAGGCACTCTTGTTAGTTGTCTGTTTGTTGGTGTTTAGGGGATTGTAATACTGCTGTTGGTAATCTCTTGTATCAGTGTACTACTTATAAACACATTTCCTTGTCTTGTGCCATCAGCCCATCTCCATCTACATCATCATTAGAGACAGACAGCGGAGTGAAAGAGGAGAGGATTACCAGATGGTGGATAAAGGAATGTTGTATGTCAGTGTGATGGTAGTCAGTGGCAGCTAAACCGTTAACCAGTAAAGTATGTGGATCAAGGGGACAATAAAACAGCTGCTCACTCCGTCCCCATGACTGCAAGAGCTCGCAATTCAACAGCCAGCATTAATCCTCTTTTACCTATTTATATATGTGCCTATATATCAGCCACACAACTTCATATTTCTCCCTCACATTGTTAGTTACAAACATCAGATGATTTATAACCTTAAGCATGACATTAATAAAATAATTTATTTCCTGAGGCACATCTGTGACTAAATTGAAAATTTGCATCTCACACTGAAACATTTAGGCACACATGTGTTTTTAGGTGGGAAAAAAATGTATGAGCACATGGCTGTATGAATTTAAAATTGTATTAACACACTGGTGCGCAATCTGTAGAAATTAACTCGCCAAGTTTGAATCTCTACTCGAAGTGCAGCTCGTTTCAGCTTCCCTCCAACTGTGAAACTATTATGGGGGAGAATATCCTGTTAGTAACATGTTATTAATTTGTCTTTGAACACTTGAATAAAGCTGTGAGCACCGTGTGTGCACAACTTCATGACAGATTTAAAAACACAAAAAGTACTGCAAGGTGCTTGGATTAATATTATAACTATCACTGTGTTGCTATATTTTAGCATTATTATGCACAATATAAGACAAGCATAACATTTTTAGATAAAATAGGAATACAGAATGTGACAATAGCATCCAGCGCTATGTGAAAGTGCAAAACTTTAACTTACACATTTCTAATTTTACCTGTTTTAGCGCAGATCTCATTTTCTCCAATCTCTCCGATCTCACACCAGGCATCACCACGGTGCTGACTATGACCACGCTGAGTACTATTGCCAGGAAATCCCTCCCAAAAGTTTCCTATGTGACTGCAATGGACCTGTTTGTATCCGTCTGCTTCATCTTCGTCTTTGCTGCGCTTATAGAATATGGCACGCTGCACTACTTTGTCAGCAACAGGAAGCCAAGTGCCAAAAAGGACAAGAAGAAGAAAAACCCGGTGAGTATATTTCTAAAACTAACTCAAGCAATATTTTTCAATAGTTTTCTTGAGGTTTCAGTAAGATTGCTCAATGACATTTTGATTAATGTGTTATATATTTGTGTAATATCCTCATAACTGTGTTTATAGTATCCTTTCTTTAGGTGAGAGTTCAAGTTCTCCCTACACACTCCCTGACCCTCCCCCACTGTATTACAGTACAGGGATTAAGCCTCAGGAAAAAAAAAGCTATACGCTGCCTCTCGAAGGGAGCATCTTCCCAGGGACCACCACACAAATTACTCAATGAGAGAAGGCATGCTGCTTGAACCTTTCCTTAATCCGCCACATATCTGTTACAGTTGTAATTTAAACCCACGTCACATGACAGGAGAGTTGCGGTCATGTGGGCCTTAAATCCCTCCAGAGATCATGGTAGCTCAATTGGAGGGTCGTGATCTCTCAGCATATATATGAGCACTTACGGAGCCGAGAATGTTTACCCTTGACAGCAGATCAGCCGGGGTCGCCTTATGGTTCAAGAAATCAAGATTTTGCATTAAGTCTGCTTAGTGGGAAAAGTTTATTGTTGTTATACTTTTAAAAAAAATTAGTTGCAATACTTTTTCAAGGGTTGTAGGTAACTGAAATCTATCTTTGAAGTTTTTTATGTTGGGATTGGACTTGAGAGATATTAAATCTTAAACCTCTAAGTACACTGGGCTTGGGTGAACATGAGTATTGAACTGGAACGTGGGGGAAAGTGGGGCGCTCTAGTTTCAGCCGCTGTAACTAAGGTTCTGCACATGGTCTAACTGTCTCTTGGACGAATGAATGACTAATGAAGCAGAAGGTGTAATGCCAGTTCACTATCTCAAAGGGGCTTTTCTAGGTTCTTAGCATGATTTGCCAAGATATGGGCAGGAGGGAGTGCCCGAGTAAAGAAGGTCTTCGACTGAGATTCTTTCAGTGTTCATGAATTGTTAAAAGCACAGAAACAATAGGAAATCAAGGAAATATGAATAAAGAACTTTTTTCTCACTACTTTTAAGCTGTTTTGGTTCCTTGTGATCTTAAAATGCAGACGCATTTCTGATTTTCAGATGCCCTCCTATCAGTTTATTTTGTTTCTTTTAGATTAGCCACATACATTACCACAATGTTTGTTAAATGTCAAACACTAGGACTGACAATGACGCTTGATAAAGGGCTGTGTGAGACAAATGCTGTAGTGATGTCGCACTCGTAGGGAGTATTTGAACTCTGCATAGTAGATAGTGTTGACTTAATCTCTCCAGTTTTGCATCTGTAATATTTTTCCTGAGGTGATGCTGGCGTAAGAAGCATGTGAGATACATATATATCCCACCATGCATCTCCCCCTGTGTCTGTTTGTAACATGTTTGTCTCTCTACAGTATATTTCTTCTCTCTCCATTTTGAGTTAGACAGTAGAGTGATTGTATATTTCACACATTATCTTGTGTTTGTCTTTCTGTTTATGGACTTTTTTTCGTTCTATGTTTACATGTATTCTTTGTTTTTTGTTACTCTCTTCCAATTCCACATATTCTTTGTTTCCTGTCTGGACAAAAGCTCCTCCGGCTCTTTTCCTCAAAGGTATATTGCCTGTGTCTGACTGCATGTGTCTGCTGCATTTTGGCTCTCTGAGCCCCCAGCACCTCACTGCTTTTCTGTCTGTTCTACAGCAGATACGCCTCTCTCTAGTCCTTCTTTATCAACCTGCATTCTTACCGTACTCCTCATCAGTTGTTAAATAGGTATCAGAGATAACAAAAAAAAAAAAGGGGCGCTCTGCAGTGCACAGTGCGGAGGCAGCCAGCCAGACGTACTTATGCAGTTTTTAAAATTCAAATAAGCATCCCACACATCCCGTGTCCAGAGGAATGTAATAGTCCAGGCCCAGCGTGGACTCATTCTGGCTCCCTCTGTCCTGTTTCACTCTTTGTTGTTGTTGTAACCACAGTGAACTAGCAGCCGCTGCAATAGCTTCCTCTTCTTTCCCTTCTCCTGCCAGTAAATCTATACCTGTGTGTTTGTTGGGCTTCTCAACCTGACGCTTCCTACAGAGTCAGCAGAGCCTTAACAGACTGAAACAGACAACCCCTGCACTGTCTTAAGTCTAATTAGAGGTGGAGGTCCACTCAGAAGATTAACACGTGCTAATCTTTAAACACCCAAAAAGCATCCAGGGTGGGCGGGAGCTAGCAAAGACCTAAATTGAACCCAGCACAAGATAATCTGCTTTTCCACATAGTGGTCTACATTAATGTTTTACAGGGAACAACATGAGGGAGCAATATTATAAAGGTCAGATTAGTCAGATTTTCAGTCTAGAGTTTCAGTGTATTGCTGATAACAAGGCAATAATCCCAAATGTTTCCGCCTTTTGTCCCCTGAGAGGTTGTCTACTTTCAGCCAGTTAAAGTTGCCGATGCCACTGTGTTGTTTCTTTGTTGTTATTTATTTTTTTTCTTTATTTTTTTTGCTAACACTGACACAGCACAGCCCAGCTTGACCAGGCCATGCGGCAGGATGCTGTTAATGCTCCTCCTGCTTGAGCTTCTACTGCGCTTCCTCCAGTGCAACCAATCCCCCTTTGAGAACTGAGTCATAACCTGTTTCGATAACCGCCCCCCTCCCCCATTACCTCAACATACTGTCCGTTAATAAGGACTAAAAATGCTGAAACTAACCTGTATGTTGTTTTGTTTGTGGTTATGTATGGTTTTCAAAGGGACCGCAGGTTTGTGCACTAGTGCTGGGCAACATGAGAAGTTGTAGGGAATGAACAGTTCAATCAAGTTTAAGTATTTTAAGCTTGTTTGAGGATGCATGCTTACAGCAGATAATGTTATGTTCAAACTAAAACTGCAATGACCTATTTTTATTTTATTTATTTATTACTTTATTTTGCAGCAAGCATGCCTACTGTAGATACACAAAATTGGGGCAAAAAACATCCATGGGAAAAAAAACAAAAACAATTGACTGTTTCGTGATGTCTCTTGCAATTAAAAAGGAATGAATTATTGCAGGGCATAAATAAATGCTGTAAAACATGCTTGGAGTGCAAGTAGTCATTTACAGATTATTGTTCCTATGTTACACAGACAAAACATAAAGAACACAGACAAAACATAAAGAACAACCTAAATGACAGCTACTGGCACTTTTCTGAGGGAAAGTGGTGATGTTAAATTCTTAGAAGCTGAACTTTGGAGTACGCTCGACTCACTGTGTCTTTTTTAAATGATGAGCTTGACACCCTAGTTTATCAGCAAGGTCAAGGAACCTCTGTAAAAGGGGGGGTGGCATTTAATCTGCCAAACAGCCAGAATTCCAATTTGTGCAAAGGTGGCATGGTATTTCAAGATAAAAGCTGATGAAAACGGCCTGTTTGAATACTAATTGTCTCCCTTTAGAATGACAGGGCCACAGACTCACTGATGTCACTGTCCTATTTCAGGCTTCTTTACAAATAAAAGACATGTGCCCTCCAGTGGCGAGCGCAGTTTGAAAAGGAGATTTATTTTAACCCATTTAGTGACAGAAAGAGTGGGCTGGAGAAATATTGAGCTGTGTGCTGCACATCTGCCAACACATGCTCCTCCCCAAGCTTAGCTTTATGATGCATCATAAGCCAGTTACAACATATCGTATAAATGTATTTTGGAGAAACTGCTTACAACAACCATACTGGTCCAAATTTGTACATTCTGTTGAGTCACTGGGCATGAAAAACATTTTTAAAACACTGCTAAGAACAAATGACACACACTCATCGGTGTGCTGCAGTGTTTTCAAAAAGCAGGGGTATTGCCCAGCACTAGCTTGATATAGCTGCTAAATAAAGCTATATGGACTACTGTACTAAAAATATTATGACTGCGTCAGCCGGCAGCTATTCCCCAGCCCAAAGGTGTAATTTGCATCATGGGTTCCACTGGGACTGACCCTTTGTCGCTATAAGCCTCACTAATTACAACCACAGGTGGTAGTTATGGGTCAATTTGTATTTTCTTGACATTGAAAGGGTCCATTGGCAAGTTGAAGGTGCAAATTACATTTTGCTGACTACTGACAGAAACTGAAGCACAAGACAGAAAATGGCAGCTCAAATTAGGTCCCCTGTTCTGTCAGTGAGGTCTTGATTATGGCACTCTGGACCTCTGACGGCTAACTGTGTCATTCTGTCCTGTTAAAAGCAGACACCCACGGTAGACATCCGTCCACGCTCAGCCACAGCCATTCAGATGAACAACGCCACGCACATGCAGGAGCGAGACGAAGAGTACGGCTACGAGTGTCTGGACGGGAAGGACTGCACCAGCTTCTTCTGCTGTTTCGAAGACTGCCGCTCCGGAGCCTGGCGGCACGGCAGGTTGCACATCCGCATCGCCAAGATAGACTCATATGCACGCATCTTCTTCCCCACTGCATTTGGTCTCTTCAACCTGGTCTACTGGGTCTCCTATCTCTATCTCTAGGCCTGGGTGTGTACCCAGCCTTATCATACAGCTCATTACATTCTGCATATGCTCTGTGCCAGCAAGGGACATTTTGAAGGAGGGGACCCACTGAAATAACCACTGATTTGATTCAAAGCATTTCCTTGAATTCCTTAGTTTTAATCTCTTTTAGTCATTTATTTAACTCTGACAGACACTGCAAATCTTGTAGCACTACATTTAACTGGTATGAGGAGGTTTGTAGACGTGTTGTGAAAACATTGATTGTGTGAGCATTTAAGAAGAAGTTTTGTGTTTATGATTTGATGACAGACTTTTTATTTGAAACGTACTCTTTATTTCCTCTCAATGGGATTTTTACTTATTGCTTTATTTCTAGAAAGACTCATTCCTTCTATAGAAAGCAATTTAAATAACTAGCAATTCAGATCACAGCAAACGCCTATCAGAAAACTCAAAACGACATTAATTACGTCTTATGGTTTCTTTTCTCTTGCATTTTTCACTTACTAAAACACAAAATCTGAAGCACTTTAATAGAGCTATGTTAGACCGTGATGCTAATTTATTTTTTAATTTATTACGCTTAAGTGTTAGCACAATGAAACATTCTTCATGTGTGGTCAGACAGAGAGAGATGATGCTGTTTATGGACAATGCTCAACTGTACAGACACTGTATATATTTTACTATTACATAGTGGTTTACATTTATTGCATGCACCTTTCAGGCCAAAATCAACATCTTTTATGGTCTTCTATTGTTGGCTATGGAAAAAAAGAGCACTGTTGATTATCATTCAAGATTTAATTATACTATTTTCTAGGAAAATTGGAAAATGAAATGATAAAAAAAAAACTGTGCCCAGTTTATCCGTTTATAAGTTGAGAAATCATCTTTACATAATGGTGGGAGGATCAGCCCAGATAACTGGTTTAATCATTTTCCTCGCAGCTATTAGCTTACAGTATAGACAACACTGACCTCTCATCCTCTCCTCCATTCGCTGTTAAAAGCGTGCATTTACATAATGACACACTGTATTTTGGTTATGCAAGCTTTTACAAGAGAAACTGTATTAAAACAAAAAAAAAGAATAAGAAAAAAGAATTGTTTTTTGCCCCTTTACATTAGCAGAGTGAGAAATGAAACTGCGCAACCAGCGGGTGAGTTTCAAATAGAGAAATTCAAACTAATCTACACTTTAATGCGAATATCAATACAGACAGCTGTTGGGTATTTTGAAATCCCTGCAATGGGACCGGGTTAATTCTATGTGTCATTCTTTCCGAAAGAAAAAAAGCCTGAAAAAATGTGAATTGATATCAAATAAACTTAAGAGCTTCATTCAAGTAAAAAAAAAACATCTGCTTGTGTCGAGAAAAGCTGTGTAAGCCTTATTATCAAGCATCACACTTCCCGTCTCTTTGAGGAGAAACACATTGAGAATGTAAATTATTACATGGAGAGGAAATCGATTCACTGGCTGGGCAGAAGTTCATTATTTTTATATTTTTCTTTACTTTTGGCTCCATTAAAATTAGCTTCGAATGCTGCAATGTTGCGGGACGAGAGCGGAGAACACAGCGAAAGCATCTGAATTGTAAATGTTGTGTATGATAACACGTGACGCACATGAATCACGACCCCTTGCAGATCACAGTTTTGATAGACACCAGTATGCAACAAATGGAGACAGTGCTTCGGTACGATTTGTAAACTCACAAGGAATGGGTGTAAATCACATTGTTTATGTACATAAATTATGAACGGAAGAAAAACACTCGTCAAGCCCTTGGGATTTTGTAAAAGGGTATATATTTTGTAATTTCAGCATTGTTACAGTATATCATCCTACAGTATATTAGACTTATTGTATTATGCTGGACTGACCATGTAGAATATTTGGGGGTAATGGGGTATTTATTTATTTATTCATTGATGGTATTTATTTATTCATTTTAATGAGAACAAAAAAAGTATTTTATGTCCATATAGCCCCTGAAAAGAAACACAGAATGCTGTCATTTATATCAAAGATACATTTTTGTTTGATGTGTCAATGGAGCTTGAGCTTATTTATCTTGTGTTTTCTATGTTGTGATCGATGTACACTACTCTCACAAAGGCCTGTCAAACTGTTATATCTGTTGAATTAGTGAGTTGCAACATTACCTGTTGTGCAGCTTCTGAGTAGTAGACTTGAATATATTTCAGGGGGAAAAAAAATCACAAAAAACAGTTCCCGAGCCACCAGAAGAAGAACATTTGCTCGTCTAAGTGACTATTGATTATTTCCACTTTTTTTCCACCTCCACAAGGGTTTTTCATTGGTCTTGATATCCTTAATCTTTAATAAAGCATCAGTGATGACACTAACACATGCATTTACTAGATTATCTCATATTTCCTAAAGGTTCTTTCCTTTTGTATTCAATGGTGGACCTGTTGTGTTTCCGAAGCTGCCGCTCACAGTAGTAGTCTAAACCTGTCTTCAGTGTGCACATACTCTTATCGCTCACATCTTTAGGGACGTACGTGTGTCAATAGCGACGTAGACTGGTCATCATCAGTGTTCTGTAGTTTAAAGAAGTGTAGAAGAGTGATTACATCCTATAAAGTGCCAAACTGACACACACATGCAATAGAGAATATCAAACTAAAATATCATTTGTGAATCCACTTTTACTGCCTTGAAGAAGAGACATATGCGAATAGCGAAGGTTCTCTTGAAGGAAATGTTATACAGTGGAAGTTGGACACACCGATGTTCCCTGTTTTTTATGTTTATGCTTTTTTCTGTTTGTTTTTTCATATGGTACAGAACCAATTATTCAACTGTAGACCAGTCCAATAAAATCAAATTGTTGTATCAGGGTGAAGAGGGAGACATCTCCGATTCAGACTGTTTCTGACTTTATCAGTACGCTGGGTTTGTAAATAACCGAGCATGTCTTGTGTTTGAACAGTGGTGCAGAAAAACATACTTTATGGTATTTTATTTTTTTCCATGATGATAAAAGCTTGTTTATTATTTAATTCTGATTTATTTTTTGTGCACTCTACTGTAAATGCAGATCTATAAAGGTGTACGGGAGATACTGTTTATATTCAGTAGTGTGCATGTTGAGTATGTTTTTCAGAATTGGGACGAACTCAAGCAGTGTTTCATCCGGTCTCAGTCCTTCGCCTGCACTGACATGGACTTTTACGACAATGTAATTATTTTTGACAGAGTGATTTTATTTATTTTGAGACCCACAAATGACACATATATGTGAACAGCACATGTAGATATTTTCTATTGTTATGTATTTTGTCAAACTGCAGAAAAAAAACAAAATATTGCGCACTGGAATTACAGGGCTCTGTTAAAGGTATCCGAGAACAAACTGAATTTCATATGATCCTCATACATACATTATGTTAGTTGTTTGCCATCTATGTATATTTGAGTATTGTATAATAGGGGCACTGATCAATTCTGTTAGGGTCTGCATAATATACTATAAATGTACTGGAAAAACATCCTTTTCATAAGGAAATTGCACATAGCTGTGGAATTTTACAATAAAATGGTTGCATTTATCAGTGTGCATAGGTTCATCATTATTAATTTATTACTTGTACTAATGTTAATAGTTGTTTTGGTCAAAATCATTCTTAAAATCACAGAAGCACTGTCAGCAAAACCTCATTAAAGTATCAGTGATATATTTCTATCAATGTTTGAGCAGCATTTTACGTTGTTTTACTGGTCAAGGTGGAATTAGATCGACTTTTTACGCACAGTTAGTTGAGTCCAGTGGCTCTCAGCGTGGCCTAAAACAGTTACTTCAGTGAAGTCATGTAATAAGTTTAGAGGGGATATGTCTCTTTGGTGAAACTGATAACATTTCATAGACATCTGAAATGTGACAAGAGGCCCCAAGATACTGCTTTTTGTGTATGAGGATCACAAGCCAAAAAGGCTAGAAACCACTGGTTTGTTTTTTAACAGTGCAGTGTATTTCTTAAGCTCATCTATGTATGATTATATACAATCAGAGTGTGTACAGCAAGTAGTAACTATAGCTTTCCAAATCAATATATCGAAGTAACAAGTATTATTCCGTAGAATGGGAACGCTCAAGTGAAGTAAAAGTACCTCAACACTGTATCTCAGTACAATACTAGAGTAAATGTTCCTCTCCACCACTTTTTTGACAACTTGTCAGGAGCTCGGGTAACTTGGCAGCAGACAGCTCCTGCACAATTAGACTACCAATATCAAAGTTTGCGAGAGAAACCACCTTTTTATGAAAACTTTACCACTGCTGTTTTGGCTAATGGAAAAAAAAAAAAAGTGGCAGACAGCATTAAAATTACCTGTCAAGAGTCCAGCACTGCAGTGTTCCAGTATGATGGAAATGAGAGGCTGGTGTTAATAGAAGATAGACTGAAAAAGGATAGAAATCCAGATACTGATAGAAGGCTATATATGCTGTAATGGCAGAGTTACCACCACACTATAGTAATAAATCACTTAATTTGGATGTGATCAGTGCATTAAATGTGTGTTATCTGAGGTTTTCAGCCTAAAAGATATGGTACAAAGGGGCATGTCACACCTTCTCTTGGGTTCAGAAGTCGTTATCAGCCCATTATATGTCCATTTGCATATCCAGTGTTATGAAACGGCTGTCGTTATCAGGCCATTGAATGTTGCGGTTGCAAATCCAATGTCGTGAAACGATTGCTGTTTTGTTAGGTTTTGATTTGTTAAGGTTAGGTGCAAAAACTACGTATTTACATTTCGTAAAATATATCATGATAAGTCAGTTAAAAACAACTGTCTCTGGTTAACTCAAGTCAAAGCTGACTTTTGGCTTTACACTGGACACTGCTCCAACTCTAGTGGGTGAAAGTCCTGTGTTTGTTTGACCCATTCACCTCACCTCCCTCCATACCACCCACCTGGGACTTTCTTGGTCTTCATACTATGTCACCTGAATTCCTCCTTTGCTCATAATTATTAAAGCCAAGAAAGTGTGCCACTTAACAATAACTGTAACAGCCATTTAATAGATAATGGCCATCTGAATCTGAAACACTGGGTGTAGCAGCACCCTTCAAATCCATATCTATGATACTGACTCCCTAAAGACAAACAATTGCTGATATACTAAAAAGAAATCAATGCATAGCCTATATTACTATTCAGATTTATGTATGAGAAAACACTATTGGTGGTGTAAGAAAAGTGGTAAATTATATGGTTTTTCAAGGCCCCACTACTGCCAGAACAGCATGATGTTTCCAATAAACTAATTAATTTGATCCGGTCAGGTAAAACATAATATATGGAATAGATGCTAGGATTTGTGAAAATAGCCGCTTAGAGTTCACACTGAAACCAGCTACATGGCCGCTCACAGACTTCATATTTAAACTTACTGTCAAGGAAAGAGTTGTTGAACAAGCTGTATTTAAAGTAGATACATTATCCAGCTTCACTGTCATTTGATAAACTGACAAGAGGTCACTTTAATTATATGTTAGAAATTACAACTGACATGTTGAGACTTTTTAATAGCTACGTCTGCAACCTGCCCGGAAAGGATTGATCCCGCCTTCCTCTGCGTCAGTTAGCCAAATTTACACTTCAGCACCTGTCAATCATTTTGACGAGCTGTTGACTGTGAAACTGTATCTTTTTCTGAGGCTGAGGTAACTAACATACCTTCAGCAAGTTGCAAGGAAGCGGATGGTGGATGTTACATGTGTTGGAATATCGTTTATTACGCCTACAGTGCAATAATGAGGCTCGTGTGTGCTTTTGCAGCATAATTGCATGCATGTGACACTGAGTGATCTGATATGCAAGTAAACAAAGGTCGTTTGAGTACTAACCTGCTTTTAGGGTAACAGCCCAGGACATTAGATTAGGCCTGACTTGACTCTACCAGGAGCGTGTTTTCATTTAATAGGACAGTTTTTATGTAAGAATAGCACGGCCTGTTCTAGTCCCGTCCAGTGACTCTCTTCCTTCCAGGAAAGTGCACTTGAAACAGAGCAGCAGTTGGCTGATGGACCCCTGTGCTGGCACCTCTCCCTCCACTGGGCAGTGTGGCAGCTGCAAAGGACAGCCATGTGAATCGCTCTGATTATTACACAACCGTCTGCAATGTACCACAGCACCCTGCCGTCACAGCTAGCCCTTTCATCAGCTGAGGTACAGGCTCTTCAGCGAGTACCGAGCTGGGAGTGCAGGGAGTCCTGCATGAATAATGCAGCCTGCACATGGCTCACTTTTTAGAACTTCACCCTTATGCTTTCATCACTGTGTGCATGATGAGATATCCAGAATATGAATATACCAACTGCTTTGAGAAATAATAATCATAATAACAGTCAAAAGCACTATTTTCTAAGAATTGCTGACAAATATCAATCAAGATGTTTGCTTATAAAATGGTTAAACAGGAAAATCAGTTGTTTTCTGAAAATACTTCACAGTCCAAACGCGTAATTCATTCGTTTGAGAAAAAACTGAGATAATAGACAATATCATCTTGATAATTCAAAAAGAAGAGCACATTTTGTTCATGAAAACCTTTCTCAGAATTCTGAGATTATAACTGAACGAAAAACACCACAAATGGACAAATATGTAGAAATGTTTTTTTTCTCAAGTGAGTGCATTACACTTGTGATGACTGATTTTTAAAAATTACAATATTCTATACCTTCAAAAAAATGACATGAAAAGATTAAAACCAACAATGAACTGATCCTTTTACCAAGTACTGACTGTGTATCCTGACTAGCTTATTCTTCTTCTTCTTTGATATACTGTAGATTTTTGTTCAAGAAAACCTATCAAACCACATCGATCACTGGGAAACGTCCTTTAATCACTGAGTCAGTCCCACCATCCTGCTGCCATGTCTTGCCCACAAAATGTGTATAAATTAAATTAAATTAAATTCCCCTTCAAACTTGCATAAGGAACAGTATATGATAACCAACAGCAACATTTGTCACATAGATTAATGATAACTCGCAAAAAGTACTTACAACTTGACTTTCCAACTTGCAGAAGCACACAGAATAAACCCAGCAACACTGTGATCTTGCTAATTACTGCAGCCATTTAATTGCTGTTTCTGACAGTATGTATTTAAAGCATCATTCCCTCACACTGTATTTCAAACTGATTACAGCAAAGCAAGTAAAATACTATATGAGAACATGTGACAAGTAAGGATGACATGTTATTAACCTACGGCGCAGGGTCGATACGGAGATCAAAGTGACATTTCAGCCATGTGACAAAACACGGATGAAGGGACTCGAGAGGCATATGGGAAATTAAAAGACGAGTTCAAGTAAAGGGATAAATATAGTTCAGCAGGCTAACTGTCACATAGCATATGTCTGGCTGTACAAGTGCATTTGAAAATTTACCTTTAAGCCCCTTTAAAGGTTTAATGTGTAGGATTTAGCAGCATCTAGCTGTGAGGCTGCAGACTGCAACCAAGTGAAGCTTCCCCTCTGCACCAAGCATGTAGGAGAACTATGGTGGCTGACACAAAAATGTGAATGGCCCAGTGTAGAGCCAGTGTTTGGTTTGTCCATTCTGGGCTACTGTAGAAAGAAAATGGTGGTGGACTTTGGGGACGAGGACCTGCTACTTATGTAGATAGGGACAGCTGATTCTAAGGTAACGATTCTCCTGTCCCATTTCTACCCCTTAAATCTTCCACTTGGTATTGAGTGCCCTCATTTGCGAGATAACCCTTGATGAGGGAAGTGAGAAATATTAGGGTAGAGATCTTTCCCTAAGAAATGGGACACCACTTCATGCAAGTCGGCGTGGCAGACGTGCAGGCATACATCACGCGTAGTAGAGACGCAATGACAATGCCGGCTGCAGCGCTTGTGTTGTGGCGTGTACTATGTTTATGTCCTGCTGAAAACAGGAGGCGCCTACGACGTCTTCTAGTTCTGATCGATTTTGTTCAAGTAAGTTGATTTGTTTAAATATTTTGACGCTGTGTTCAACCGAGTTGCTGATGAGTTCACGCTAGCCCAACCATCTGTTGTTGTTTGTATAGCCTACATTCCGATCATACAGTAATAAATTGTTTTCCAAAAGTTCCGGAAGTTACTGACTTAGCAAGGTGTTCTGGGAAATTTCATCTTCCACTTTGTTGAAAGTGTGGGTCGGGGCTCCCTTGGAATCTAGGGCAGTTTTTAGGTGTTGGAAACCACTTCCACTACCTCAGTTCTGTTTTGGGACACCACTAGCCTAAACGTGAACGTGCACAAAGAAAAGAAAATTTAGTTATGACGTTTTATATTCCATTTCTGCCAATATATCCTTCTGAATCCTACACACAGGACCTTTAATAAACCTACTTTAAAGTGCAATCAACAACATCTCATTAGTCATCACCATTGATTCCTTGACACATATCATAAAAACATTAACCACAAAGACATTTGATTTGCATACTGCCTATGATGGTGACCTCTTTTTAAAATGTCTGAAAAGTCGAGATACTGAAGACACCACCCTTACATCAATATACCACAGACTTCAT